TAGATACACTCGGCAGAAATACATCTGGAGCTTTGTCAAAAAAAATATAGTATACACGTCCATATAATAAAAATTGGGATGCTTTCGCTACGAAATCTATCCGACCAAAGCTCCTAAATATCACTTGACAACTTTTCCTACATATGCAACATATTTCAGTTATGTATTTCATGTTACATCATATCTTCTCCTGTGAATTTATATTTAATTAGAACTTGTTACCAAAGAAATTATAAGTGCTTTATACCTGTCACGAGTTGACAGAAGTCACTCTTTCAGTTACCACAGGTTGCTTAACTTTTATCAACTTCAAAACACCAACCACATACATTTCTCAGAGTCATATTCAATTAATACTTTTTCATTTTACTTGACGTGTTTTCACGTTATGACACGTTTAAATAAGAAAGTTTCTATTCAAATTAACTATAATAAAACAACATTAACTAACTTAAAACATCACAGAGTCTTATTTTTGGTAGAATAATTTCATATTAATTTCTTAAAAAAGGCTATTATTTCTATTCTAGTATTGCCTCACGTGTTGTCATACCAAATCACGTGACTAAGTTCATCTAAATAATTAAATTTTTGTTAATCATGAGTCAAATCACGTTAAGTCAAAATTATTAAATCTAATTTGTTTAAATTCAATATATTTATTATGTAATGTTTGTTAAAAAAATCATTTATCTTCATAGAAATTTGTACAAAGTCATGCAAATTGTGTCAAAAAAAAACTACAGAAGCTAGTGAATATAAAAGATTTTATTAAGACTTACAAAGTTACTCTAAATAATCTTAAAACTGATTTTTCACGAGGCAAAAATTGTAATTCTCCCATTTATAAACAATTCCATTAGCTTTCGCGCGAAGTTCAAAGACTGCTCTGCAACGACATTTTTCCCTCCAGGCTTTTATCGTAGAAGGAAGGAAAATGCGGAAAATTTTGGTTAATATTATTGTTGTAATATTCCACTTCCAAAAACATTGTTACACACAGAAATAGGGTTGTAAAAAAAATAAACTGGAAGGAACACGAATTTTTTCAATTAAAATTTCTATAGTCAGAAGCTGTAGGAGAAGAAAGAAAAAAAAGAATAAACATCCTTTTTTCGTCTCGCTCCATTCCGCGTGTGTCATTCCCTCTTCGTCTCTCACGAAGAGGGAAAAATATTAAGAATTTTAATTTCGAATTCCCTGCCGCATTTTAGAGTAACTTTGTAAGTCTTAATAATATCTTTTATATTCACTAGCTTCTGTAGTTTTTTTTTGTATTTCATTTAAAATAAATAATATTTCATACACTTTTATTATTATTATTCTTTCTTCTCCTACAGCTTCTGACTATAGAAATTTTAATTGAAAAAATTCGTGTTCCTTCCAGTTTATTTTTTTTACAACCCTATTTCTGTATGTAACAATGTTTTTGGAAGTGGAATATTACAACAATAATATTAACCAAAATTTTCCGCATTTTCCTTCCTTCTACGATAAAAACCTGGAGGGAAAATGTCTGCAGAGGAGTCTTTGAACTTCGCGCGAAAGCTAATGGAATTGTTTATAAATGGGCGAATTACAATTTTTGCCTCGTGAAAAATCAGTTTTGAGATTATTTAGAGTAATTTTGTAAGTCTTAATAAAATCTTTTATATTCACTAGCTTCTGTAGTTTTTTTTTTGTATTTCATTTAAAAAAAATAATATTTCATACACTTTTATTATTATTACTATTCTTTCTTCTCCTACAGCTTCGGACTATAGAAATATTAATTGAAAAAATTCGTGTTCCTTCCAGTTTATTTTTTTTACAACCCTATTTCTGTGTGTAACAATGTTTTTGGAAGTGGAATATTACAATAATATTAACCAAATTTTTCCGCATTTTCCTTTCTTCTACGATAAAAACCTGGAGTGGAAAATGTCGTTGCAGAGCAATCTTTGAACTTTGCGCGAAAGCTAATGGAATTGTTTATAAATGGGAGAATTACAATTTTTGCCTCGTGAAAAATCAGTTTTAAGATTATTTAGAGTAACTTTGTAAGTCTTAATAAATTCTTTTATATTCACTAGCTTCTGTAGTTTTTTTTTGACACAATTTGCATGACTTTGTACAAATTTCTATGATAGAAATGATTTTTTTTAACAAACATTAAATAATAAATATATTGAATTTAAACAAATTAGATTTAATAATTTTGACTTAACATGACTTGACTCATGATTAATAAAAACGCCTCAAGTGATTTGGCATGACAACACGTGAGGCAATAGTAAAATAGAAATAATAGCCTTTTTTTAAGAAATTAATATGAGATTATTCTACCTAAAATAAGTTTCTGTGATGTTTTAAGTTAATTAATGTTGTTTTATTATAGCTAATTTAAATGGAAACTTTCTTATTTAAACGTGATATAATGTGAAAACACGTCAAGTAAAATGAAAAAGTATTAATTGAATATGACTCTGAGAAATGTATGTGGTTGGTGTTTTGAAGTTGATAAAAGTTAAGCAACCTGTGGTAACTGAAAGAGTGACTTCTGTCAACTCGTGACAGGTATAAAGCACTTATAATTTCTTTGGTAACAAGTTCTAATTAGATATAAATTCACAGGATGAAGAATATGATGTAACATGAAATACATAACTGAAATATGTTGCATATGTAGGAAAAGTTGTCAAGTGATATTTAGGAGCTTTGGTCGGATAGATTTCGTAGCGAAAGCATCCCAATTTTTATTATATGGACGTGTATACTATATTTTTTTTGACAAAGCTCCAGATGTATTTCTGCCGAGTGTATCTAGAGATATATAGATACGCGCGCGCGGTATTGGTTCCCATTTCCCGCTGGGAAATCATCCCCCATTTTTGTCTTGCGAGACCGATTCTTACGTACTGATGCATGCAAGGTAATTGAATTCCCTCCGACATGGCGCCCATAATAATAAAAATAAAACTAAACAAAACGAAACAGCAGGATAGCATTTCGAATTTGTGTGTATGTATGTTGAAGGAACTGGGCGAAGTGGAATATAAGAAAAACCGCGGTTTCCGCCCAGTGTCCTCGCAATATTCGACGTTTTTACGTTTCCGCGTAAAGTTTTAATTGGAAAACTCGAAAGCGCATATTGAATATTTCATCTGGGGGGATAATTTAGTTAGCGAACTAGAAGCGTGTGCATGTGGGTTTGCTCGAGGTTGCTTGCTTTCAGGTGGATGAGGAGGGTGAGCGAGGGTGATTTCGTTTTACCTGATGAATCTCTCGTACCCAGGACCGATGAGGGTCTCGGCCTGGGTCTCTCCTCCTCCAGCACTACGTCTTCCTGAGCTTGATAGATGTTGAACAAGTCGGCCACGCATCTGATCCGAGCTTTGCCCGACTGAAATGTGGCGCCATCTATCTCCAACTCGAGTCCGGCCACCGTGGTCAGCGGATTCCTGCGATCCTCCGGGTTGTCCGGATCGGCCAGCCTCATCATGAAGCTCTCATTCACCTGAAACGCAGAGAAAAAAAAGAAACTTTATTACACTCTGCTCTATTCGATTATACAGCCGAATAAAAACGAGAACTCTTCTACATCTCTTCTCTTTTTCTTTACTGTGGTGACCATAAAAATAAAGAAACGACCGGAATCCTAATGGCGCGACTCCAGATTTACTACGATAGACATACTCTTTCTTTTTTTCTTTCATCCTTATTTATATCGCCGAACATAGTAATAGCTTTCGGGATATATAGAACACGGGGGTACCGGTGTTACCTATTACCATTCCAGAACCAGACTTTATTTGTTCTGTTTCTTATAGGTCAAAGCATAAAAAGCCTGAAGACCTCATCACCTATAAACATTTTAGTAGCAATACAGTACAAATAATATATTTTCCTCTAACTCAACAATAAATTTTAAGTACAAGTAAGTAATTTTTTTCGGTATTATTGAACCAATATCTCTTCAAATCTATCATCTATTTATCAAATACTCTTAAATGTATTGAATATCGAGTAGGTAAAATATTTGAACTAAGCTAAAAATATGGTAGTTGAAAATTTGGGTCATAACTTATGCTCTCTGGTCTTTATTAGAGCTTAAGATCTGAACTAAATTTGGGTGAATCTATGAAATTGTTTATCGTTAATAAATTCGGCGCGCCTGGTGAATTAGTCTGGGTGGTACGAAGGGGTGGTGGTTCGGAGGGACGTCGTGCTGAGATGGAGGTCGTCGAGGATGGTTGGCGCAGCGTGCAGAGAATATGGAAATTTATGATAATAAAGTTTGAATCAATATATTCCCGGTTCGGGAATCTGGATTACCGCCTCGCTGAGAATGCTGGCAATAATAAGAAGGCGACATCAGAAGTTTAAACGTGATATTCAATTTACAAGTTGCGGCCGGATTCCGCGTGCATATCTTTCCATCGTTTTGGATAAGAAAGAGAGAGGCGGCGTGGCGTATCAAGGGGTGTATTGGAAGGAAGTTACGACGTTGGTTTCTTGCTGGCATCGCGATCGTGACTCTAATTTTTATCAACGCCAGTCAGCTTCCTCTTCTTCTTTTTTTTTCTTCTTCATTTTTCTCTGGCGTTGTGTATGTGTGTTGGAAGCCGGAGGCGGTGTCACCAGCAGATCCATCCACATCCACACCAACGCAAGATACCTACGTGACTTCATTATTGTCACCAGAGGCGCTCATCTCTCACACAAGTTCCGAACCGACGACACCAGGCGCAACGCATCGCTCATACTCAACAACATCCAACAACAACAACAACAACACAACGAGGCGGAGGCAAATGAAAAAAATATATAGATATAGGAGACGCGACGAGGATGACAAAAAAAACGAAGGAAGCAATTGAACGTAGGAAATTTGGGGGGGCCGGAGGCGTGAAAAATTGCGGTGGCGGCGGCATGTTACGCGCCAGGCCTAATTGAAAAGTTGAGTTGATTGATGGAATCGGTGATTAGGGAATAGGGAGTACGTTTCGGAGATTGCCATCACCTCGGATCCTCCGCCACCACCAGTTATGCCACCATCCCTTTTCGAGCTAATATATAGGGGATTTTATCGGAAAACTCGAGGGCTCCGATTTTATGAAATAGTTCATTTGCAGACTCACACTAAATTCTCACCAAATGAAAACTATAATCTTTCAGAAAATATCACATATTTTTAGTTTCTTAAAATATATCATTAAAACAAATATAGATCTTAATTTAATATAAATACTGTAATTTTGTTGTAGTTGATGCATGTTTAATGTTATGTAGATAATCTATATCATCATCATATATGAAAACCGCAGGATGTATATGAAAGTGTAATAATATTCCTACTCCCCTAGAATCTGTGATTTATGATGTATTAGGTGTCATATTTTAGCACGCCGAAAACGAGCTCACTTCCACCAAATATGTTGATTATGATAAACCGTGTTTACAATACTAAAGCTAATTTCAATGCGAACTGTAATGACATCGATTCTGCGATGCGTGTACGCTTTTGCAATTACATCATAACCAACCGGACAATTCTATCGTGATATATAACCAAACAATTTTAACCACATTAAGAACAATTAACATTTTTATTTACAATTAATTTATATAGAAAGTCTTATTATTAAACATGTTTATTGGACAGAATTGTGACAATTTTATATAAAATATTTGGTAGAAATAAAACTTTGAATAAAATTATTATTTCATTTATATAATGATGAAATAGTTCAAACTTTTAAACTTGTTTTATACTAAAATTAACTTAATGTAATTTGAACAAAATATTGTATGTGGATAATTAAATGTTTAAACTTCTTTTTTTCTTGTATTCAAATTGAATCATTAAAACAAAACAGTAAAGTTTTGTTTGATTTGGTAATTAAAGTTTGTGAATTTGCAAATTTTTATTTCTTATATTTTGAAATAAGGTGTATTTAAGGTAAATGGAACTTTTGATAGAAGTTTGTCTAAAATTTGTAGAAATTATTATAATTATTAATAGATTAAATTATTTGAGAAAAACTAAAAAATCTAAATTCTTAAATATTTTTTAATTCTAAGTTGATAAAACAAAGAGGTTTTGATTAATTATATAAATTTAGTTACGGTCACTTCTCTGTAAAAGATTTTCAGGTAAAATGTTTCAAAATACTTTGAAACTACTAACAAAAAGCAAATTTACATACATTTACTGTGTGAATAATGCATTAATTCGTTAATTTACAGAGATGTAATATATAAAACGCTCATTTCTGACTCAGGTGGAATAAACCTGTGGTTAACTGAGCTGCAGTAGTTCAAGTGCGTTTTAAAGTGTCCGCGTGTGCAAGTTGTTTTTTCCCTTCCGTCGTTTTCGTACATGCAGTCAACTTGCGTGAAATAATTGCTTGTTTATAACCGGCTTTGGTATTTGCATTTTTAGAGGTGGAAATCCCTGCGGCACGGAAAGAGTTGGAACGAGAAAAAAAAAGTATATAGAGAGAAAGAAAAAAAGGGGTGGTTGTAGAGAAACGTTGGAGGGTAGGTCGGAATAAATCAGGGTTGCTAATATCGTCGTCGTGTTGACATTATACATAATTATCCGACGCGGAGTGTATTGCAGGGTTGGTTTTATTATCAGCGGTTGTCAGCCTGGGGGGAATGCTCAGCCTCATCCTCCCCATCCGCCATCTGGATGCTCACCCATCCCCCCTAACGCGCGTCACTTCAAGTGACAATGGCATCCACCTATTCATCATCTCCCAAGGGTGCGACGAAAAACAAAAATACAAACCTCACATACAAATGCAGAGAGTGAGAGAGTTACTAACTAGGTTTCATTAGTTATTAGCCAGTTAAAATGGTACACGAGACGCCCGAAAGCATACATCATTTTCTTGTTTCGGGGGCGCCGCCGATGCCTCCGTTGTCATCATCATCCCCCTTCCCACTCTCTCTCTCTTTCATATACACACATACACACCCTATCTCCTCGTTGTTATTTATTTAAAATTTAGATTTATGGTGGCAATTGCATTTGTCATTTTAATTGTTACAATACTTGTGCTGGTGTTGCTAAATTTCCGGATACACGACTGTAATTAATTAACGAATTAAATTAATGACCGGTCCGGCTTTTGTGCCACCACTTCATATCTATATACTATCTCTATTTCTCCTATATACATGCACCATCTGTATATATGCGCGCATGCACATGCACATTCACACGAGGGGGTTACACAATTGCATTGGCGACATTTTATTTATTATTATTACGCCCGATGGGCGAGAAAAACTGCCTCGAAACTAATAAATAAATTTACCGAACCGAAACGAAATGAAATGAAATTCGCGCGAACAGATGCCCGTTTTTGCGATAAATCCATTAATTGCGGACAATTCTGATGCGAAAATTGCTTCAATAATTAACAATTTATACGAACTTTTCCAATTGGACACAAATAGCAAAAAAATAATATATAAAGGTTTCTACACACTACGCGACACTGTAATATAAGTATTCCTCGATTTACGAACTCCCGGACTTACAATCTTACTTGTTATAAGGAAATATATAGTGATAAAAAAATTAACTGTCCAAAGAAAAATTGAAAATTTTCTTTAATAAAATATAATATTTGAAGAAGATGTACAGTCTGTTTTATTGCATTTGTTTCTTTTGTCGTTTCTTTATGAAATAATTGTGATGTCTACATTGAAAAGTATTTCTAAGTAAGTATTTTATTTTAATCAATTTATGTAGTCAATAATACGGAATTTAATATATATAAACGTAAAAACCATGATAAAGTGTGGTAAGATGAGTATATTTTGATTTTTTTTAATTCTCCCGACTTACGAACAACCCTTCGGATCAGAACTAGTTCGTAAGTTGGGTTATACCTGTATTTTGTAACTTTCTGAATGTAAAACCGTATAGTTCAAAAACTATGGAAAAAAAATGAACAAAATTAAAGCATGCATTCAAACCGTGCAAAATTGATAACGTGTAAAAAAGTACCATGTAAAATGAAGGATAGGTGAACTTTATTAATTATATTGCTCCAATGTTTACGAATTTGACTCGAATCACTATACAAATTTTAAAGATTAAAAGATATCATTTTTTCAAAAATAAAGGTAGCTACACACTAGTTTTCATATTAGTACACTAAATTATTTATTCTTTTATATTAATATTAGATATTTCTCTTTAAAGTCAAGTCTTTTTTTGTGCGGTTTAATGTATAATGTAATGGAAACATAAAACCATTAGTACTATAACCTTTTATATATTTATTTGTCTGTAATTATTTATATAATTGTTACAAAATTTGATTTTTTTCCAATATTGAAGAATTTGTGAATTATTTTTAATTTCTATTTTTCATTTAACAATAATTAATTATTAACTTATGAACTGTGATTAAGATTTGTCTAGCTTTTTTAATTCAATTCTTTAAAATATTTTTATCTATTTAAAAGTAACATAACATTAGTTGTTAACAAATATTATAATAATTAACAATTTTAACTAAAATCAAGTTTAGTATTTTGTATAAATTCAATAATTAATAAAAAAAATACAAATTCTTCATACATTAGTTTTTTTTTTAAATAAATGTAACTAATGGGAAAAGTTTGTCTATAATTTGTAGAAATTATTCTAATTATTAATAGAATACATTATTTTGGAAAAATGAAGTTTCTTATTTCGTATTTCTTTAGGTATAAATTCGAAAAATATACTTGAAAGCTAATATTTAGTTGTAAAATTACATAAATCTTATTTTTTTTAAGATAAGTTGACAAAAAAATGTAACATTTGATTATTTATTTAAATTTTAAATTTATTTAAATTTTCTATAAAAAAAAATTGGTAAAATTAAAATTTAGATACATTAATGAATTCCTTAATTTTTTTGAATCTCAAGAAATGTTACATTCAAATCCAATTGTATAGTTTTTTCAAAATTCAATACTTTTAACAAATTTAACAAATATTGTAATAATATTGTAATTAACAATTTTAACTAAAATGGTTGAAACAATATTTACAATTTTGTTATAATTATAAAAAAACATTGACTGTTCAGAAAAAAAATACAATAGAACCTGTTCTTGTGAGGTCCTTTTTGTGCGATTTTTTTATGCGGTTTAATTATTTATTTTGTTTGGATGTACTTTCTCATATATTTCGTAAATCTCTGACGAATAAAACGCATTAAAAACGTTTCCATAATGTATTATACAAAGTTATTTGTTACTTGTAAGAATGTATGAAAATTTTGAATATTTTTTTTGTGCGATTTTTTTTTATGCGGTTTTTAATAATTCCATTACAATTTTGTTAAAAGTTTCCATACATTAAAACTAAATTTCACATTTTCATTTAATTTACAAAAAAGAAACTGCAAAAATATTTAAAATATATAATAACTATTAATAAATCTGTTACAAATTCTGAGCATTACAAAAAATTATATATGAGAAAAAAAAAACAAGCAATTTTACTGCCGCAGTTTTATATTCATAAATATATTTCAGCTATATCGAACATTCTCTTTCATATTTTTTTTTTGCGGTTCGGTTGTGTAATTTAGTTGAAAGATTTCCAATTGATTGCCTCCCCCATCATATTTTACTCGAAACGCGTTATTTTTTTTTGTTATCTCCCGTTCATATATTTTTTTTGGTGCGGTAGATTTGGTATAAATAACGAGAATAAATTTATTACGCCTACGAACTACAAATAACAAAAAAAACTCAAACATTGATTGAATTTTAAATTGAATTTTGTTTCCTATAAATTTTCTCAAAATGTTTGAATAATCCAAATATTATACAAAAATTTTAAAATAAGTGTATTATAATTATTTTTTATATAATCCGGATTAAATAATTAAAGTATGCAATTCAGTTAGAAAGATTCTAATTTAATGATCAACATTTTTTCTTAAAACATTAATTATTAAAACAAAATTATTTTTTACTTCAGAAGAAAAAAACTGTTTTATAATACTTGTTATTAAAATGTTAACGCAAACAAATTCTCAAATGCGTTAACTTTGATGAACAACATCAAACGCATTAAAAAAAAACACATTTTTTCCAACCCTCGCATTTCCTTCTTCGCTGTTTTATTATTTTTTTTTAATTTAACAATCTGCAATTAACATAATTGAATTTATTCTCATAAAGTCGCACTGGCGACGAATTTCCGTCAGTTCGTGTCATTTTATTAACTTTTGCTGCTAATTAAAAAAACAACAAAAAGAAGACGGAAGAAAATTCGAATCACAATTAAAATTAATTGACAAGGGAAGATGATGAAACAAAAAAGAAATATAAATATGTTTTTTTTTTGTATTTTTTTTAAAGCTCGTTATGGATTTATTTAGGAAAGTTAATTAAGAATTATCGATTTTATTTTATAAAACACATCGAGTTTTGTGAGATGGATTGAAGGATTTTGGTACATACCTTTTTCTCGTTGAGAAACCATGTTAAATTAATGGCTGGATAGGATGGCGGCGACGTGCAATTTCCTCTCAACGTATATCCTATTTCATACATATCCTTTTCTATGAACACTTCCGGCTTTCCTTCAGGAACATCTATAACAAGGACATAAACACATATAGTATGGATCAGAGAGGGAATTTGCGGCGTTGCGGCGAAGCAAACAATAATAATGGTTGAAACAACAAATTATAATTGTGCCGGCGTTTATTAATTGTCGCAATTATCTCTAAATGATGGAGATGAATGCCTATTTTCTCTCACTCCAACCACTCTGCTGTAATCCCTGGGTTTAAATTTGATAAGATAATGCGGGGTGGAAGATGATGAAGAGGAATGCCCGGAGCGAACGGAGCAAAACGCGGCGATTATTTTCGTTAATTAACGACATTAATTAAAAATATAAATCAATATGTGTACCGAGGCCAGCCAAGATTGATTTACGCTCGCTTTTCCAACGGTGTTTTTCATAATTATGGCCTTTATCTTCCGGTTATCTTTATCTTTTTTGTTTTCTACCATTATTATTATTCCTTTGCGCGCTTTCGGTGTGTGCGCCTGTTTATCATAGTCTCGGTGGGAATTTATGTTCATCGGGCCAACAGTAGTTAGGGGCATCAAGAAAAACCAATTCCAAGAACGGTTCTCTCGCAATTTACTTGCCAAATAACTGTCGCATTCAGTTCATATTAACTCTCCAGACGTCGCAAGTTTTTTTTCTCTCTTTCTCTCAGAATTTCACTGAGAAAATGTACTTCTTTTTCCTTATTTCAAATTTTTCCTTCAGTAAACGCATTTTTTAGAAAATGTTTTTCTTAGAAAAGAAATATTTTAATGAATATTATAAATCAATTATATATAAATATTATTAAGAACATAAATATAAAGATTATCTGTACTGAAACTAATAATTAATTAACATGTTTTTTTTTGTTAATTAGTCCTTATAAAATTAGATACAGTAGAACCTCGCTTAACGAGCAAAATGAATTGCTTAACGTGCAACGTTTCGCATAATGAGTAACAAGGAAAGTAGAAGTCTCAGATTGTGCTCCTGCTACATCATGTTCAAAACTTGTATACACATATTATGTGTATTTTTTATGTTTTACTATACGAGTAAAAATCCGGAAATTTTGGAACGGATTAAACTTGTTAAGCGAAGTTCCACTGTATTTATTATATACAATATTTATTTACTATTAATTTATAATAAATTTATCTTTATAATCATTTTTTTTTTCATATAGAAAATATTTGAATTAAAATTTGGTTGCGTTTTCTTTATATTTTATTGTGTATTCAAAAATTGTGTTATAAATTTCAATATTTTTTATTTTAAATCGTTTTAAAACTTAGTTGGATTAGTGAAAATCTAAGATTAATGTATTTTTTAGGATAATATTAAGATCTTTTTTTTAGTATTTATTCCAATTTCCTCCTTCAAATAGTTGAACTTAATTTAGAAGCCTTTTTTTCAGTCTCTTATAAAAACTGTTCTTCTAATTCTATAATTACAAGAAATAAATTAAAATTGTGTAAAAGTAAATAAAATATCTCAAAATATTAATGAAATTATCATAAAAATATATTTAAAAATAGGATTAGTCAAAATCTAAGATTATTTTAATTTCTTAGGATAATATTTTGAATTTTTGATATTAGCAACAATATTATCAAAATTATTAAAAGTTTATTTATTGCTATTTCTTCTTCACGTTGAACTACATTTCTAAGTCAATTTTTAAAGAAAATTGATTGTGTTTGAATCTTTTTAAAAATTGTACTACTATTTCTAAAAATGAACTTCAGTAAAAGTAAATAAAATATCGCAAAATTGTATTCGTCAAAATCTAAGATTATTTCAATTTTCGACATTTTTATCAAAATTTGTAAGTTTCTACATTCATATTTATTACTATTATTTCTCATAGTTGAACTTAATTTCTGAGGGACTTTTTAATGAAAATGTATTGTGTTTGACTCTATAATAAGAATTGTAATACTATTTTTAAAATTTGATGTAAAAGTTAATATACGTAATAAAATATCACAATATATTGATCATCAAATTATATATTTATAAAATCTGTAAATTGAAATAATTGTAGGCAGAAAGACTTAGGTCATCAATTATTAAAATCCATTTAAAAATAGTTAATTAAAGAATAAATATTTAGATATGAAGCATATTAATATATTATTAAAAAAATAGAACAAAAATATTAATTAATTTAATTACTTGAAATTTTGTATATGAAAAAATATTGTAAAACCATTAATTATGAAAATTCATAAGTTTTATATTAAATATTATCAATATATTAAAATATTTCTAATACAAATTTAAAATTTTAATTGTTTTGATACTAGAATTATTTTATACAAAGTTTACAAAGTTACAAACCAAATACAATTTTGTCATATTTCAAATTTATTTATAGATAGAATGTACAACTTTATATAATTATAATTTAAATTGAAGATATTTTAATGATAAGAATGTTGATTACATAATATAATGAGAAAATATAAAAAATCTAATAAAAAAAATATAAGTATATTATTTCTATTTCAGTGGCTATAAAATTATGATTTGTTGACATCTTATACTATTTACATGCATGTTTATTTTTGGGAAATCCGGTAATTAATTATTCAATCTAAACCATAAAAAATAGCTACGACGATCGCATCACATATGCATTTTTTATTTATGTATATAAATACGTGACATTTCGAAAATAGCTTAAGTCTAATTTTAAAATTTGTAAACGTGTCATAACGCAGTAAGTTATCGCCGCTTGGAGCACTATTTACGTAATATGCGTACAGTTAAAAATACGTGTAAATACGACACGAGTGGAGGAGGAAGATGGATTCGTGGGCGTCTGATTTGCGGTGAGGGTGTTATGCAAATTGCAGTAAGTTTACGTGATCGAATCAAAGGGCGTTTGATTGGAGTTTCAGAGCGGCTGTCGGTGTGTGATTCGATAGGTTTCGGTGTCGTGTTGTGTTGTGGGTATGTGCATTGTGGTGTATATGCCGTTCGATGGAAAGGGGTGAAGGGAGTGAATGAGAGATAGATGAGAGTAAGCGAGGGAGAGAGAAAGTACCAAAACTTTGGTAAATGTGTTTCGATCTGGGCACGGCAGTGCATCTTTACAGTTGACAGTTTGATCCGTTCCGACAGTTCAGCCGTATCTTGCGGCCATGCCCGAACTCATTACTCACGAAGTTATGCTACTATGCTTGTATAATACACCTTAGATAATGCCTACGCAATCAATACATTGATGTACGTACATCATTAGACTCAGATCTGATCAAAATCCCGACAACAGATATCCCGACAATCAAAATCCCGACAACCATAATGTCGACACTAAAAATCCCGACATTAATTCAAACTATCTAGTTAATTAACTCTTAGAATCATCAAGATTTGCAAAAATGAACATTTGTGAAATAATTCAATCACAAGAAAGCAGTGAAACCGAAAGGAGTTGTTCTCTATCCATAGTATACTATGGACCAATATGTATACTATGGACCAATATGTATACTATGGACCAATTCTACAACCAAATTACACAAATATATGTGATGCATTGACATAGATGAATTAAGGATTTTGATACTGTTAGGATTATGGTTGTCGGGATTTAGAATGCCGGGAATGCCGGGAATGCCGGGGAATGCCGGGAATTTTACAACCAAATTATACACTAAATATGATGCATTGACAAAGATGAATTGAGGATTTTGACACTAGGATTATGGTTGTCGGGATTTCGAATGTCGGGAATTTCATTATCGGGATTTCGGATTTAGTCTACAAACTAAATCCGGATGCACGATAGAAAACGTCATTTTCAAATTTGCGCATTACATAATATAACCTCCGCCTCTTTGTACACCATCAGGAGTTGCTATGAACTTTCGAGGACGTAATTTCTAAAGTGCACAGCCACCCTGAAACTTGCCTTTCCAAATTGTATTATTAATAACGTTTTACTTGGGAATACTGCGCTGCAATCAAAATTTCGACAATCAAAATGCCGACACTGAAAATCCCGACAGTAATTAAAACTATTTAGTTATTTAACTCTTAAAATCATCAAGATTTGCAAAAATTAATATTTGTGAAATAATTCAATCACAAAAAGGCAGTGAAACGGAGAAGAGTTGTTCTTAATTAGTGCACCTTATGTATACTATGGAATAATTCTACAACCAAATTACACAAATAAATATGATGCATTTACAAAGATGAATTGAGAATTTTGATACTAGATGGGATTTCGAATGTCGGGAATTTGATTGTCGGGATTTACATATAGACCCCATTAGTCTACAAACTAAATCCGGACGCACGTTAGAAAACGTCATTTTCAAATTTGCGCATTACATAATATGACCTCCGCCTCTTTGTACACAATCAGGAGTTGCTATGAACTTTCGAGGACATAAATCCCGACAACATCAAAATCTCGACGGCATCAAAATCCCTAGAGTAATTAAAACTATCTAGTTAATTAACTCTCAGAATCATCAAGATTTGCAAAAATGAACTATTGCGAAATAATTCAATCACAAGAAGGCAGTGAAACAATTTGTACGCATGGATGTTTAATGGTGAAGAAGAGAAACCCGCAGGAGTTTTTCTCAATTAGTAGACCTTATGTATACTATGGACCAATTCTACAACCAAATTATACACTAAATATGATGCATTGACAAAGATGAATTGAGGATTTTGATACTATTGGGATTAAGGTTGTCGGGATTTCGAATGTAGGGAATTTTATTGTCGGGATTTCCATATAGACCCCATTAGTCTACAAACTAAATTCGGACGCATGATAGAAAACGTCTTTTTCAAATTTGTGCATTACATAATATAACCTCCGCCTCTTTGTGCACAATCAGGAGTTGCTATGAACTTTCGAGGACGAAAATCCCGACAGTAAACTATCTAGTTAATTAACTCTTAAAATCATCAAGATTTGCAAAAATGAACTTTTGCGAAATAATTCAATCACAAGAAGGCAGTGAAACTGAGAGGAGTTGTTCTCAATTAGTATACCTCATGTATACTATGGACCAAT